TTTTGCACGCTTAAATTTTAGAGAACAATAGTAAACAAACTTATATTGATTTTAAGCGATAAGACAAAATAATAAGGCGATAAAACAAGCTTAGGCCAAATCACATGCGTAGTTGTTAAGATCCTAAAATAGTCAATTACTGAAAACGTGGCATACATGGAAGGTTTTCATCAAAAATTCTTGTGCTAACAATAAGATTAATTACTAAGAAATGTCCCTCACTCAACTCTCTAATATACTAGGCTTTAGCAGAGAGATTAGCAAGAGTCTTTATGAATCGATTATAAACCACAATTGAAAAGAGACTAGAAAGGTAAAAGAGCTGGAGGAAGAGTTTACCCAAAGGAACAGAAGATATGAAGTTTCAGTGGTTGTTTGGGTGTTGGAGAGGAAGTGGACGACAACCAAGAACCTTGCTGACGGTGTGGGCAGCAATCTGAAATGTCAGGACAGCACAAGAAGATCTCCCAAGCGGCTGGACAGCAGGAAGAGGTGCAGAATTTCTCTAGACAACAATTTGCACTGCTGGGGAACACCTTGGGCAGCTTCTATGAAGTATTGGGAGCTTTGAACCACATCATATGACCTTCAGGAGTACAGGACAGAAGGTCCATATTGTTGTAACATATGGACAGCCAGCAGAAATCACAGGGGAATGAGAAGAGAACGTGGGGAAGAGCTTGGGACGGGGCGGTTGGAGCTGGGACAGGTTTGGAAAGGGAAATTAAAGAATATCTTGGAAGGATTTTGATTGGGAGGGGGAAAGGGGGGCGGCAGCTTAGGTTAGGGTGGGGTGGGAAATTAGAGGGAGTAATTAGGGGGATTAAGTGGATTGGAGAGAAGAGGTTGAGGGAATTAGGGAATTAATTCCTTGATTTGAACCATGTTAGGAAATGAATTAATTAAGGGAGGGGAGCATGGGGCCGGCCAAGAGAGAGGGGGAGGAAGGTGTCTAGGTTCAATGTATGTGGCCTAGGGATCAATTAATCAATTAATTGCTGATTTGATTAATTGATAGATTGAAGAAAGTTTCCAAAAACTAATGATATTAATTAAGAAAGATTTTGAAATTCAAATTGGATCAAATTTGAATTCAAACTTCTTTCCAAATTAAAGACAGTCTAAATTAGGAAAGAGGGGTTTTTGGAGGGAAGTGGATTTAGGAAAGAGGTGGCCAACGGGTGGGTTGATCCCTGGAGGTTCTCGACCAATGGGAGGGAGGAGGAGGGGAGGGGTGGTGTTGGCCGGCGGTGAAGGAAGGGGTGGGGGTGAGAGGGCCGATGGCTATAGAAGGGCAATCCCTTTGGAGACCGGCGGATGGAGGGAGATTCAGAGATGGCAGCGGCTTAGGGGACAAAGCTTCGGCCGGACGGTGGGAGGAAGGGGAGGGAGAGAATAATAAGATCAAGGTAGAAATGAACCAGGAACCCGGACATTTCCAAGGTATGTAGGTGATCCGTTCTCCCTTTCCTAAGGATTTTTCTCCATAGCTCTGAAGCTCTCACAAAACTTAAGAATGCAGGAATTTTCTTTGATAATCATTCATTAATCTCAAAAGAAACATATGGGGCATATATATAGCCTCCTACAATGAAAGGAAAATAAAGACAACATTGCCCCTAGGAGGCGTACATATGACAAAGCCCTTAAATAAGGGCAAAATGGGAAAACCTACTAAAACAAATACATAAAGCAAATAAATAAAACAAATACATATGCAGACTCGAAAGTAGATCAGCGCGATCGTGGCCGTTAATCGTCGACCATATTTCTGAAAGATAGTTCGGGATCTGATGTCCGCATCAGTCCTCCATAGAGCTTTGGGAGGAACTAGTTTTAGACATTTTTTTGCGGCAAATAATAATGATAAATGCTATATTAATCATGGTAGTAGGGCCCAGGGAAGTAATGAAGACTGCATTGGTTATAAGAGTAATGACTATAATAAGAGAAGGCTGGCAATGAAGGCCGCTTTCTCCTCTCCACTTCCTTCTCTTTAAACTCTGAATGACAATGGCAAGGAAGGCCAATGGTGGAACTCATGGATTATATCTATTTAGTCTTTGATATCATGTTAAATTTAGATAAGTGGAGAGGGAAAAGGCTTAATTTAATTGCTCAAACCTGTCCCCATTTATAGATCTATATAAGATATCTTAATAAAGAAACAAATAATTACAGAATCATACATAATTGCTCTAATATAATCATTCCCAAATCAGCCACCTAAATATGGAAGGAGATCGGCGCAATTCAGGTGAGCCTCCCACGGATCTCCATCCTAGCCGTGGGATCAAAATGCCAAGGGACGGCTGGGATTTAACTTAATCCACTAGTTGTTGTCTTGTCATCAAATATGCAAGTCGTAGAGAAAGCCTCATGGTGTTCAAAGCCCACTATTTTTGTCTCGTGCATCTAAGGAACCTATGCACATAAACAAGATAATGGAACTGTAAGGAGTAGAGGGCTGAGTGACACTCCCTTTTATTTTCTTAAGATGGATTTGTAAATCATTGATTCGATGCAAATGAACTTTGCTAGTATAGGTTAAAGAATGGAGCCCATCTTTGGCAGGCGCTAGTATTAAGTACATGCAATAATGTGGGGCCCAAATGCCTTTTTTTTTGTAGGTGCTAGCATAGGTGAATGCATAATGGAGAAACCCTAAAGATCCAACTTTGGTGGGTGCCAACTTAAGATGCTTATCAGATGTAGGGTTCACACATCCATTTTTGCAGGAATCGATACCAACACTTATTAACTCTACGGCTCCTAAATGCCAAAACTTGGCTCATGTAGCTCTACACATGCAATCCTTAAGGACAAAGGCCACCCTAGCTTAAACAAAGCTATTCTTTAACAAACTTTGTAAGAGATAATTTATGTCAAGGAAAGCCTTTCTAGACCTAACATCAAATGAGAATCATCCCGAGATCACATCTCCAAGAATAATCTTCAACTCATTGATCTAAATCAAGGCCATCTATGATATCTCAGTGTATATTTTTTTTGAGGATGTCAAAGTTAATATCCTGAGAATTGTTGTAGTTTGAGAATATCAAAATTTGACAAATTGTTATTAAAGATGCTTCAGATGCTCAACTAGCCTCTCGGGCAAAGTGATATTGTAGTGCCTCACACTCCTCCCAAGTGGATGCCATTTCTAAGGCATTGCCTGGGTGATTGCCTTGATGTAATGCGCTAGGCAATAAGTTGCAAGCCTCTTTCATGTAATTTATTATTATCATCATTTAAAAGAATACATAATGAAAATATACAATTTTGAGACTATTATTTAAATAATACATTATGATAAAATATTGAGGAACTTCAAAAGGTTTCATCTAAGAAGGACTAAATGACAAAAATAGAAAAGACAGGATGACTATAAATCTAGTGAGGAACAAAGTATATAGGTGATGAATAAGATTAAATAGATAATATTAAAGATTCGATAAATCTTAGATTACGGAAATTACAAACTTAATTATTTATCTAATTGTTTAAACTATAAACAAATCTTTTAGGCCTTGTGGGTATTTGAAACAAAATAAAACTTGAAATGTTTTTTTTTTTCCTATTAATGTGCAATATTTTACTATGATGATTATCATATTATAATCTCCAAATGTATTTCTCATAATTCAAATAAGTAAAAATTTTATGTGCCTTAGCTTAGGAGAGCATAACCGCATATCGCTTAAAGAGAGCTTAGCAACTTGAGCACTAGGAATTTACATTTTTCTTGGAGAGAGCAATGCCTTTAATATCATTAGTTGGGTCATAAATTCTCAATCTAGCAATCAAATTTTCTCCAAGATTTGTAAAAAGAACACAATGATCCATGATCAATTCATAGGAAATATATTCGTATTCCTTACAAGAGACTAAAAAATTGTGAGGCAATTGGTACATATTTAAAATTATTTTGGTTTTAGATTAATCCCTATAGCTCATTTAAGAGTTTCAATATTTGTACTTCCACACTCACAATGTAATAGTAGCAGGACAATGCAATGGTCCTTTTGATTCTACATTGTTGAACCGCCTCAAGATCTATGGTGGTCATTTAATTAAACTCAAGGTAATCGATGCTAATCTGGGGCTTCAACTGAAATTTGGCGATCCAGCTCAAAGCTCCAGTAACAATCTCAAATCCATCAACATAAATTGAATGGCTTGATTTGAATCTCCAATCACATTAATCTTAAAACATAAATGTTTCATTTGCTTGTCCGTTAACTCAAAGGTAAAATGGTCTAGCACCAATCTTAGAGTTTAGGTGTCTAAATCCTCAATCCTACTTCAACTAGAGGGCTAGAATGTTCTCGACCAAGTGGCATTTTTATCCATAATGAATCTTGAAGACAGTATTTCCCATACGTGTATCCACCTCACAAAATGTACCAAACTATCCTTCAGTCACACTATTATAAATATCCTCCTTAGGAAGGCAAAGCACTTTAAATTATGTTCAAAACTCTATAATTCCTTAGAAAATATTTAGTTGAGTTGTTTCGAATCTTTTCCAATTTTTCCTAGTTGAGTTGTTTCAAATCTTTAGGATTTGACCCACTTCAAATCTTTTCCAACACATAACATAAATTATATAATAATAATAAAAAATAGTAGCATGTTTTTGTTCAGAAAGCTTCATTTTTCCTAATTTATCTACATGCTAGCATTTGTTGACTGATGGATTATGTTGCACTATTTTATCTTCAATCCTTACATGAGCTTGTATGTGCTTTCTAAATGTTTGTTTCTAGTTGGAAACAGGAGCATATGTGCATGTTGCTCTTTCCTTCAAAGTTGACGTGATTATTTTTTTCTACAAGCTAGCATTTGTTGACACATGGATTATGTTGCACTATTTTATCTTCAATCCTTACATGAGCTTGTATGTGCTTTCTAAATGTTTGTTTCTAGTTGGAAACAGGAGCATATGTGCATGTTGCTCTTTCCTTCAAAGTTGACGTGATTATTTTTTTCATTATCAGTACATGAGAAATTGCTTCGGACCAGTGAAGACTTCGTTTGGCCTGTTGATGGGACCTTCCATGGGCGTTTCATTATTGACGTAGAGTTTCTGGAATTGAAAATCTCCCCCTTAAGTGTAAGAACTACATTTATTTCTTTGGTGTGTGGCTTTGTATTAGTTATTTGTTATCATTTCCTTGCATTACTTTGACAATAATCTATTAATTAATAATTTCCTTCATCTCGGCAAAACTAAGGCATGCTGTTTGATAATTTTTGGAATTAATCTAAAATGGATGTTGGAGTGGCATATAATGCGAATGATAGGCTTGATGTGTGGCAAAATTAGAAAGAGTATGTTAAAGAATCACTAATTACATTAGAGGAATGAAAATATGATTGTTGAAGATAGAAAATGCATTCGTTAGACGAGCATAGAAAATAGTGCTGGAAGATTATCAAGGAAAGTGTCTAGAATTAAGTTAACATGTATACAACCTATTCAAAAAAATTGCGAATAGGTTTAACACATTAGGAAGCACTCAATGGTATCGAATGACAAATGTGTACTCCTAAAAGAAAAACCAATTAGTTAGGATAAAGCTATTGATGTTAATGCCGATCATAATGATGTGTCTTGAATGGAGGTAATTGATGAACTTAGTAATCATATTCTCCTTCTTCCATAAGATTTACCTTTTCATTTGATCAGCCAAACCTTATCACCAAAAGGCTTTCTGGAATTTAACGATTGAATTCATTGTCAGCTACAGATCAGAAGCTACTATTTATTTTTTCTTTTCATTGACATTTGACAATACAGGGAGGTGAACTCTGTTCGATCTGGCCTAATAAAGAAATGATGCAGAATGCTGCAAACAAGGGTGGTCTCCATTGCCTGTCCCGCATGCTTGAAGAAGATATTCATTCAGATGTCACTATAAACACAGCCGATGGAGTACTAAAAGCCCACAAAGCTGTTCTATCGGCATGCTCCCCTGTTTTTGAGAGCATGTTTCTGCTCGATCTAAAAGAGAAAGAATCTTCTTCAATCAACATTGAAGATATGTCACCGGAATCCTGCTCTGCTCTCTTAGGATACATTTATGGTTCCATAAATCAAGAAGATTTTTGGAAGCACAGGCTCTCATTGCTTGGTGCAGCTAATAAGTATGATATTGCGGCACTAAAGGATTGCTGCGAGGAGAGCCTTCTTGAGGATCTGAACGCTAGTAATGTTCTTGAGAGGCTCCAAGCAGCTTGGCTTTACCAGCTTAATAAGCTAAAGAAAGGGTGTCTGATGTATTTATTTGATTTTGGGAAGATATATGATGTCAGGGATGAAATCAATGGCTTATTCAGACATGCGGACAGAGACTTGATACTGGATATGTTCCAAGAGATGATCACTCTATGGAGGCCTGCCTGATGGTTATAATTTTGAGTTGAGCAAGGCTTGTTGCATGGCCACTGTTCTGTCTAATTGATACAAACAAACCCTAAAATGTATATATTATGTTCGTGCTATATTTGTAGCTTGGTGTTTGCTCATATGAAAAGGTTGTCATCACTTGAATTCTTCTCTTTCCTAATGTAAATGATTTGCTTAAGTACACATATAACTGATATGGAAAGTAATGTCATTGAGCTGCAAATGTGCCAAATTTATGTTTATGGTTAGGAGTTTTGTTGACTAAATGTCGTCTTCTGTTTATTTATTTATTTTTTTTTTAATTTGATCATTGGAAGAGATGATTTTCAAATGGATAAAAATGAACTAATAGGAAAAGGAGGAATTGCCTCAATATTCAATTCAAATAGTAATGTGATATCTACACGATTTTATTATTTATATTTATAGAAAATAAGATTACATGAATACATATACAATAACATCAAGCTTTTATCTCACTGTGGGGTCAGTTGCATGAATTCTTTTTCTCTATTGTGTTTTGTTAAGAGGTAATTTAGCATTTAAACCTATAAAGAAATATCATTTATAATATTTTCTAACCAAAACTTTTTAGGTTACCTCAAGCTTTCTTAACATAAGTTAAATCTAATACATCTACTTTTCTAATTTGGTCATCAAAAGGCCGCCATTTTATCTGACAAAGCCATCTAAGGCGACTCTAACTAATCTTATCTTTCCCTGGAGCTACTCCAACTTTTTCACGTATACGCTCATTTTGTATAATATCTCTAAGAGTAAAGCCACTGATCCATGATTATTCTCATCTCTGCAACACTTAACTTAATATTATGCTTCTCATTTAATGGCCAACATTCTACACCATAAAACATTGCAGGTCTAACCACTATCTTATAGAACTTTTCCTTAAGTTTGAGGGGGGATTTTTTATCACACAACAAGCCCGATGCATTCCTCCACTTTAACCATCCAACTTGAATTCTACTAATAATATCTCATCTATTTCACCATCACTTTGAACAATATATCCAAGATATTGAAAACGTGTACTCTTATTAATGACTTGATCACCCAAAGACATAATCCCCCTTGCTAGTTCTATTATTACTAAAATTATACTTCATATATTCAGTCTTAGATCTACTCGAATGAAAGTCTTTAGACTCTAAGGTTGAACTGCATAATTCAAGTTTACCTTCAACTCCCTCTCTAGTCTTATAAACAAGAAGTATATCATTAGCAAAAAGCATACACTAGGGTACAACCTCTTGCAAATGTCTAGTTAGAAGATCCATGACTAAGGCAAAAAGATATGGGCTTAAAGTTGATCCTTCATGTAATCCAATTGAAATAGGCAAATACTTGGTCAAACCACCTTGTGTTTGAACAAAAGTAACATCTCCTGCATACATATCCTTAAGGAATTGAATATAAGCATTATTAACCCCTTTCTTTTCTACAACTCTCCATAACATTTCTCTTGGAACTTAATCATATGATTTCTCTAAATCAATAAATATCATATGTAAATTCTCTTTATTCTCTCTATACTTCTCCATCGAATCTCCCAATAAATATATAGCTTCCACAATAGACATACCCGACATGAAGTCAAATTGATTTTGAGAAACATTAGTATCACATCGTAGCCTATTCTCCATAACCAAGGTTATGAAAATTGAATCGGACAACGAACTGGAAGGAGAGATTTACGGTTAGACTGAGGTCGAACCCTGGTCAAACTGGATGACATAGTAAATAATGATATTATTATAAATTTATAAAATTAAAATAATAATATTACAATCTAACCTTAAAATTTTCATAATTCTAAGAATTTAGACTCATAATAATATGAAAATCTTACTAAACAATTTTCTCTCAATTATTCTAATACAATTTTATATTAATCTAACAAGTATTATTTATTTTAAATGTCATATATTATCTCTTAATATAATTAACATATTAAATAAATTAAGTAAAGTTAAATGATGAATATAATTATATATTATAATTAAATTATTAGACATAGTTTAATTATATTATATTTATGAATATCTAACAATTTAATTATAATTAACTTTTACATTTAATTATAGTGATAACAAATGAGGCTTATAGAAAAAAAACCAAATTGTGATTTTAAAATGAAGTAAAATTTTTTTTTGTTAAAAATAGAGCTAACCCCACCTGTCCAATTCAATTGAATGCCTTCGCCACTCCAATCAACCTCAGCTGCAGCGACAACCATAACACTGCCAACATTCCCACCATTGCCACCACACCTTCTTAACAGTGCATCCCTTCCACCATGTCAGTGACCACCATCAAAATAGCTGAGAGAAGTAATCCAACTCCCTGCCTCAGAAGTAGACTAAGATCTGTTTCTTGAATTATGATACACCTAAGAGCAAAGAGGACCTAGTCGAGGAGAAACATGTCTTTGTTGCCTTCGCAATCATAGTGTGAATCCACTATTTCTCCTCTCGAATTGTATTTTTCGGCCTCCAAGCATTCCGTTCAGCTACAACAAAAGTAAGATTAGAATTTGCACCCAGAATAACCCAAGCAATCATAAATCTAGCTCGAGATGGATTTCTATTTCCATGTTGGGATGGATTTTTGTTTCCACACTCGTCACCATCGGAAGCTGCCCGATCACAAACTGCACAATTTTTCAAAATTGGCTTCAGTTCTATAGTTCAACTAGTTCCACAGTTTGACCCCTGATCTGAAGGTTTATAGTCAATGTTTTTATAAGACCAGTTCACGGATCAATTAGTTGAACCGACCAGCTCAACCAATTTTAAAAGCCTTCATTTTAATGCAATGTATTAAAGGATTTATGCCATTGATTTTAACACAATATACAGGTTATACACATGGTGTGTATAAATTTTCCTTATGCACACCCTGTGTATAAGTTGTATACAGGGTGTGTATAAGCTTGTACACACCCTATACACAACTTACACATGAAGTATGTATAAATTCCCTTTATGCACACCCTGTGTATAAGTTGTATATACAGTGTGTACAAGCTTAAAAATATTAGCCCACATAAAAATGTACCCTTAATAGAAAATTATAATGAATCATTTTTTTAACCATCAATCATTACAATGAACCATAAATAAAAAATTACAATGAATCATCAATTATTATAATGAACCATTAATTATTATAATGAACCATCAATATAAGACTATAATGAACCATTAATTATTGCAATGAATCGTTTTGATTTAACTATCATTATTACTTTAAAGTTAAATTTGAAGCTGATGTTGCTTTGACACAATGATATCCATTATCATTCTCGTGTACTCAGATGTTGGCTGGCTGCTTGTTGATCTGTGTTTAAATTTTTTGTTGAAGCATTCAAGTATGTTGAAAATTTTGAACTGCCTTGAAGGTAAATAATGTTCTGTTATAGTTGCCTCTACAACAAGTATCTTTGTTAAAAAAAAACTAATCTTAGCAAAATATGCATTAACTCATAATGTATATTGAAAAGCAATTATTAGGTAAGTTACATCTTTACTTTTAGGTTTTTTCTTTTCCCAGTGGTCCTTCATCCTTGCATTAGAAATGCCTTTAGGCCAACACTTTGGTGGGTTTTTCAATTTTGTAATCCCATCCTATATATTGCCTACAAACTTGTAGTTCCTTCTCTTGCCATTAATGATCAAGTCTAAATTTTTAGACATGTCCTTTATTACAACCAGCATGTATTATTCTACCTCCTCATTCTCATGTGCTAGTTTAATATAAAAAATCGACTTATATGTTTTTTAATATCATGCTACTTTTTTATTTTTTTAATATCATGCCACTTCGTATCTCATATGTTATGTATTTCTTTCCCAAATTTGATATGTGTGTGGATAGAATGCCCATGCTAAAATAATCCTTCTTAAATATTATTGATCACTTATCCCTTATCCTATTATGCTCCTCCAACCAACCATTACTATGGAGGCTCCCTTCTATTATTATCTCAGCCTATATTTTTTCAAACTCCTCCTTAGTGTAACACTTGCTCAAAAGATTATAAAAGGATCCTCTAACTTTGTTACTGCTATTGAAGCACCAAACTTTCAATGGAACCATTTTAGTGATGTGCCACTAACATAGTCTATGATGTGCGTGAGGTAATGCAACTTTATGGCCCTAGCCATTATTTGGACATGATCAATAAATATTGTTGCTAGATTTTTATCCCTCATTATTTGTATAAATATTATAAACGGCAATGTAAATAATTCAATTATTTTCTATCATAAAAAAGCCACTCTATGAAGAATATTTTGTCAATGATTATTAACTCTGATAAATGTTATACATACTAAATTATATTTATTAAGCCTATAACTCGTATAATAAATTACCATATCTCTAAAGCATATCCTACCCATACTATCAACCTAAAAAAATCAATAATTTAACAAAATCATCAATTTCTATATCCTATTAGAATATATTATCATCAACTTGTCCATCTTTAAATAATTGAATTAATGAATTAGTTTCCCCATATTTAACATTTACTCTTTTTTTTCTAAACATAGTTGTATACATCCCACTTAAAGAATCCAATATTCATAATACCTATAACTTTATTGACAAGGTAGACAAATGCATCAACAGTTTTTACACCAACTTTTGTCATTTATTTAAGAACTGATGCTTTCTCATCACTAATATTCCTACATGATCTAAGTATATGCTAGTCTTCTGGCCAAGACAATTTATGATTGTGGCTTTCTATAAATTTTTAAACTTTCTAATTTCCATCTTGATCCACTATATACATAATCTTAGCTAAACACCCCGTTCTAGTATTTGCTTTTCAAAATTTTTATTAGAAATTTAAATCAAAACCCTTCATGAAATCAAATTTTAACAGACAGAGCTCTTTCATCCTATCTTTCTGGAATTTGGCTAGTAATTGTGATATTTTTTACAAACATTAAAACTAACATTATGACCCCCCACCCTATACACACTTTGTCTACAAGTGTTAACCTCTATATATGTGACATGGTCAATGCAAGCAAAGGAGACGATGATTGATTATTGTCAGTAGACAAAACACCATTCAGAATAAAGATAGAAGTGTCTCAATCGTGATTAAATTATTCAAACTTTGTCTGATTACAAAGTGGATCACATTAATGCATTCATGATATCAAATTTACCAAAAAGAAGTTTGTACATGACTCGATTGAGTAACAATTTAA